TGGGGGGATTTGGGGACATTTGGGGACAACTGGGGACACTGAGGGGTTTGGGGACATCTGGGGGATTTGGGGACATTTGGGGGGATTTGGGGACACTGAGGGGATTGGGGACATTTGGGGACATTGAGGACACTGAGGGGATTGGGGACATTTGGGGACAACTGGGGGATTTGGGGGCATTGAGGGGATTGGAAACTTTGGGGACATTGAGGGGATTGGGGACATTGAGGACATTTGGGGACATTGGGGACATTTGGGGACACTGAGGGGTTTGGGGACATTGAGGAGATTGGGGACTTTGAGGACATTTGGGGACATTTGGGGACTTTGGGGGATTTGGGGACTTTGAGGACATTTGGGGGCATTGAGGGGATTGGGGAGTTTGGGGACATTTGGGGACTTAGGGGGGATTTGGGGACATTTGGGCTGATTTTGGGGTAAATTTAGGCTGATTTTGGGGTGACTTTGGGCTGATTTTCAAGCTGATTTTTGAGGTGATTTTGGGGTAAATTTGGGCTGATTTTGGGGTGACTTTGGGGTGTTTCAGGGACAATTTTTGGGGTGACTTTGGGGTAAATTGGGGCTGATTTTGGGGTGACTTTGGGGTGTTTCAGGGACAATTTTTGGGGTGACTTTGGGGTTAAATTGGGGCTGATTTTGGGGTGACTTCAGGGTTAAATTTGGAATAATTTGGGGGTAAATTTGGAATAATTTTGAGGTAAATTTAAGAGTTTTTGGGGCTGATTTTGGGATAACTTTGGGGTGTTTTAGGGGTGATTTTGGGGTGACTTTGGGATTATTTTGGGGATAATTTTGGGTATAAATTTGGGCTGATTTTGGGATAACTTTGGGGTGTTTTAGGGGTGATTTTGGGGTGACTTTGGGATTATTTTGGAGATAATTTAAGGATAATTTGGGCTGATTTTGGGGCCGATTTTGGGGTAAATTTAGGCTGATTTTGTGGTGACTTTGGGCTTATTTTGGGATGATTTTGGGGCTGATTTTGGGGTAACTTCAGAGTGACTTTGGGGAGAAATTTGGGCAGATTTTGGGGTGGTTTAGAGGTGATTTTGGGGTGACTTTGGGGGGAAATTTGGAATAATTTTGGGGTAAATTTAAGAGTTTTAGTCGTGATTTTGGGGCTGATTTTTTGCCTGATTTTGAGGAGAATTTTGGGCTGATTTTGGGGTAAATTTGGGGTGTTTTAGGGACAGTTTTTGGGTGGCTTTAGGGTTATTTTGAGGATAATTTGGGGCTGATTTTGGGGTAACTTTGGGGTGTTTTAGGGACAATTTTTTGGGTAACTTTGGGGTTATTTTGAGGATAATTTGGGGCTGATTTTGGGGTAACTTTGGGGTGTTTTAGGGACAATTTTTGGGGTGACTTTGGGGTTATTTTGGGGATAATTTGAGGATAATTTGGGGCTGATTTTGAGCTGATTTTGGGGCGAGGTGATGGTTATTTTGGGGATCATTTGAGGATAATTTGGGCTAATTTTGGGGCCGATTTTGGGGTGACTTCGGGCTTATTTTGGGATGATTTTGGAGCTGATTTTGGGGTAAATTCAGATTATTTTGGGGAGAAATTTGGGGTGGTTTCGAGGTGATTTTGGGGCTGATTTTGGGGTAAATTCAGAGTGATTTTGGGGAGAAATTTGGGGTGGTTTCGAGGTGATTTTGGGGTGACTTTGGGCTGATTTTGAGAGCGACCTTGGGATCATTTTGGGGATCATTTCAGGGTAAATTTTGGGCCTGATTTTGGGGTAACTTCAGGCTGTTTTGGGGATAATTTCGGGGTGACTTCAAGGGAATTTTAGGCTGATTTTGGTGGTTTTTTTGGCACAGCCATGGCGGCCTCGGGCTACCTGAACCTGGCGGCCGACGCCGCCCACAACTTCACCGACGGGCTGGCGCTGGGGGCGGCGTTTTGGGGCGGCCCCGCCCGGGGAACGCTGACGGCGCTGTCGGTGCTGCTGCACGAGCTGCCCCACGAGCTGGGGGACATGGCCATGCTGCTGCGAGCCGGCTGCTCCAAGGGACAGGTGACAAAAATCCGGGGGGAAAAATGGAAAAATCGGTTAAAAAATGGCACGTTGGAGGACTGACCATAGAGTTGGGAGGTGGGAGGGGCAGAGTGCCCCCTAGTGGTGGGTGGTGCCGTCACCTCTATGGTCACTTCCGGTGCCGCCATTTTGTGAGGGCAGAAATGGCCCCATGAGGGTGAGGCCCTTTCCCAGTTCATCCCAGTCCCTCCCAGTTCATCCCAGTTCCCTCTTTACTCACATTACCCCACTCCCAGTCCCTCCATGCATGGAATTTGGGCATTTGGGGCAGGAAAAATGGGGGGAAATCCGGGAAAAAAGGGGGTAAAAGGAGGAGGACCAGCCATAGACTCAGGTGGGCCAGAGCGCTCCCTAGTGGTGTGCATTGCATCCACTCTCTATGGTCACTTCCGGTGCCGACATTTTGTCAGGGCAGAAATGGCCCCGTGAGGGTGAGGCCCTTTCCCAGTCCCTCCCAGTTCATCCCAGTCCCTCCCAGTTCATCCCAGTTCCCTCCTCACCCACATTATCTCACTCCCACTCCCTTTGTGCATGGAATTTGGGTATTTGGGGCAGGAAAAAATGGGGAAAAGCAAGTAAAAAATGGGGTAAAAGGAGGAGGACCAACCATAGCCCACTCCCTCCATGCACGGAATTTGGGCATTTGGGGCAGGAAAAAATGGGGAAAAGCAAGTAAAAAATGGGGTAAAAGGAGGAGGACCAACCATAGAGTCGGGCAGGCCAGAGCGCCCCTTACTGGTGGGTGTTGCATCCACCCTCTCTATGGTCATTTCCGGTGCCACCATTTTGTGAGGGCAGAAATGGCCCTGTGAGGGTGAGGCCCTTTCCCAGTCCCTCCCAGTTCATCCCAGTTCACTCTTAACCCACATTATCTCACTCCCACTCCCTCCATGCATAGAATTTGGGCATTTGGGGCAGGAAAAAATGGGGAAAAATCCGGGAAAAAAGGGGGTAAAAGGAGGAGGACCAACCATAGAGTCGGGCAGGCCAGAGCGCCCCCTAGTGGTGTGCGTTGCATCCACTCTCTATGGTCACTTCTGGTGCCGCCATTTTGTGAGGGCAGAAATGGCCCCGTGAGGGTGAGGCCCCTTCCCAGTTCATCCCCGTAACCCCAGCATCCCTTCCAGGCCATGCTCCTGCAGCTGCTGACCGCCTTGGCCGCCCTGGCCGGCGCCGCCTGCTCGTTGCTGGCCGAGGGCTCCGGGACCGGCGCCATTTCGGGGATCCTTCCCTTCACGGCCGGCGGCTTCATCTACCTGGGCACGGTGTCGGTGCTGCCCGAAATCCTGAGGGACTCCGGCCCCGGCCAAGCCCTACTGCAGCTCCTGGCGCTGCTGGCCGGCGTGGCCATGATGCTGCTCATCGCCTACTATGAGTAGGAATTCCTAAAAATCCCAAAAAATCCCCAAATCTCCTTTTGTCCTCCCCGTGCCGTGTGGTAATGGGAGGTGCCCCTTCCTGAATTTATCCCATTTTGGGACCAAATTGAGGCTTCTCTCTGAGGAAAATGGGAGATTTAGGGTTCAAAGCGTGAGAAAAACGGGAGATTTGGGGTTTAGAGGGGGAATTTTGAGGGATTTTTGGGAATTTGGAAGGGTGGGGGTGGGGGTGGGGGCTTTTTTGTACCACTAATGATGGTGTCATGGCGAATCATGATGGATTAAAACGTAAGGATGAGGACGAGATGAGTGCGTGGAATTAATTGGGGGATGAAAAATGGGGATTTGGGGGGAAAAAAACTGAGAAAAAATCGAGAAAAAGGAGAAAAATCCGAGGAAAATGAGGCGTTGGAGGACTGACCATAGAGTGTGGAGGACAGAGCGGCCCCTGGCGGCGGGAGCGGCTCCGCTCTCTGTGGTCACTTCCGGTGCCGATGGATTTGGGGTTGGATTTTGAGTGATTTTTTGGGATTTCAGGCTGGATTTCAAGCAAGATTTTGGGGTAATTTCATGGGATTTCAGGCTGGATTTTGGGGCAATTCCCTGGGATTTTGGGTTGGATTTGGGGCTGGATTTCGGGGTAATATTATGGGATATTCAACTGGATTTCAGGCTGGATTTTGGGGTCATTTCATGGAATTTCAGGCTGGATTTCATGCTGGATTTTGGGGTCATTTAATAGGATTTTGGGATGGATTTTGGGGTCATTTAATATGATTTTGTGCTGGATTTTGGGGCAATTACATGGGATTTGGGACTGGATTTTGGGGCAATTCCATGGGATTCTGGGACAGATTTTGGGGCAATCCTGTGGGATTTGGGGCTGGATTTTTGAGATAATTCCATAGCATTTGGGGCTGGATTTTGGGGTAATTTCATGGGATTTCAGGATGGATTTGGGGTTGGATTTGGAGTGATTTTTTGGCATTTCAGGCTGGATTTCAAGCAAGATTTTGGGGTCATTTAATGGGATTTTGGGGCAATTCCCTGGGATTTCAAGCAGGTTTTGGGGACTGGATTTCAGGACAATTTCCCGGGGTTTCGGGACAGATTTTGGGGCCATGCTGGGGGATTTGGGGCTGGATTTTGGGGCAATTCCATGGGATTTTGGGACAGATTTTGGGGCCATTTTGGGGGATTTGGGGCTGGATTTTGGGGAAATTCCCTGGGATTTTGGGCTGGATTTCGGCGTAATTTTGTGGGATTTCCGACTGGATTTGGGGTCGAATTTTGGGGTCATTTCATGGAATTTCAGGCTGGATTTCAAGCAAGATTTTGGGGTCGTTTAATAGGATTTTGTGCTGGATTTTGGGGCAATTCCATGGGATCTGGGGCTGGATTTTGGGGCAATTCCATGGGATTTTGTGCTGGATTTTGGGGCAATTCCATGGGATCTGGGGCTGGATCTTGGGGCAATTCCATGGGATCTGGGGCTGGATTTTGGGGCGATTTCGTGGGATCTGGGGCTTGATGAGCATGCCGCGCTTGGGGCGATTTCGTGGGATCTGGGGCTGGATTTTGGGGCAATTCCGTGGGATCTGGGGCTGGATTTTGGGGCAATTCCATGGGATCTGGGGCTGGATTTTGGGGCGATTTCCTGGGGTTTGGGGCTCTCAGAGCATGCCGCGCTCGGGGCGGGCGCGGCCGAGCTTCATCCCGCGGATGATGAGGACGGTGCCGGCGGCGATGCCCACGATGCCCACGGCCAGCCCCAGGGCGCAGATCGCCGTCTCCGTGGCCTCGGACTCCGGCGCCGGGATTTGGGGTTCTGGAAAGATCCGCAATTCCCAAAATTTGGGCCATCCCAAGTTTTTCGTCGTCCCAAATCCTTCCTCATCCTCGTCGTCGTCCCGGTCCCGGCTCGTCACGAAGTTCCCAAATTCTTCCTCTTGCTGAATTGTTTCCAGTCCCAAATTCCCGTTTTCCCAATGATCCCAAATCCCAATGATCCCAAATCCCAATTACCCCAAATCCCAATTACCCCAAATCCCAATGACCCCAAATCCCAATGATCCCAAATACCAATTACCCCAAATCCCGATTATCCCAAATCCCAATTACCCCAAATCCCAATTATCCCAAATCCCGATTATCCCAAATCCCAAT